AACACATCATTAAAGTAATCTCGCCAACCGGATGAGGATATCGGCTATCTATATCTGCTCTCTTTTTTTTGAAATTGTAAATATTATTATTTAATAAATACCGTGTAATAATATTTAAATCAAAAGCAAATATTTTTAGCATAGWTTTTTCTTTTTTAATAGTCATTTTTTTTATAATAGTAATTTGTTGGATTAAAATGTATAAGATCATAAGATCACAACACGTTTACCATGATTTCAAAAGACAATATTTTATACTTTAAAAAGTTTGTCTTTTTGATTTTTAATCTCTTGTGAGTTGTGACTATAATATGATGCTAGAGGAAACGCTGATGAATATAACGCTTCAATTTACAGTTTACAATTTGTGTAATCAATGCGATAGTTACTTGAAATCAACAAGTTTTTTTTTGTATTTATATAATTTAATAAAACTAAATTTATCATTTATCATAAATTATGAAGATATTTTTGAAACTTATCTAATTGTATTAATTTTAATAACTTGTGTAGTTGTGTGATTTTAAATTTTGGGTTTTTAGTAATGTATTTTTTAAGTTGTTAGCTGTATACGAGTGGCGATGGCACCTAAGTCCATACCTCAGAACCATCAAGCGAAATTAATACAATCCATTCTAAAATATTACAGTTTTTTTTAAATTTACATTTGATATTTAGTTGTTTATTTTATATACTAATTTTGTTTAGATAGATGTGGCTTTCTATATTTAAATAATATCAGTTTTACTTTAAAAAACTAACCATGTATTTACTCTAATTATGTWCATTTCGAATTGTTTTTAAATCAAAATATGTAGTTAAACAAATTGGGTTGCGTGAAGTAATCCAATCTCTGTACCTAAGTGGTAAACATTGCTCCAAGAATAAATACGTACGTAAGTTAATCTATGGTTTATGAATTAAATTATTAAAAACTAATAATTGTGATATTATATTGTGGTTGATCTATTTAAAATTTAGTAAAATAAGAACATTTTTAGTGTAATTATTTACATTGATTTACAACTTATTAAACACTTAACYTAAGTTGTAAAATGACAATTTATAGTTATTATTGGTATATATTAGTTACAGGTTTATTATCAGTGCGTTCATYGAAAAAATATTTAACGATAGGYACTGTAAATTATCAAAATTAAAATTAATAATAAATATTCATTATTTTTGTAAACTATAATATTCAATATATAATTATTCTTAAAACGAATTAAGTTTTAAATAAAAATGTGTATACCTAATCAAATCACGAACAATTAAGATCAAAACAATATTATTTAATATAAAAATTTTCTGGTTGCTAATAATATTAGTATCCATATATAACACGCAGGGACCAATGGAAAGCACAATTTTTTGGGTTTCTCTGCGGGTTAAATTAAAATGTATAAAATAAAACTTACCGTATCCAAATATAGTATATACGTCTTTGATGCGGTACAATAGAACAAAAATTGAAGACGTCAACTACGGTCTCGGTCAACGCATCACGTGTGACACTATGAATTTTCGTGAACTAAAAAAACGTACAGAACCTCGGAAAAAAACCAACGCACGACCGAGTGGTAAACTTTTTAGTTGAATGGAATTGTTTTTGATTACCGTACAATATTATCTTTGTACGATTAATACATATACAATATACACACACACATATATATATATACAGGTAAGTAACTACTGCAGAAATCGACGAGATAAACGGAGACACGATCTAAATCGGTGCTAGCGTGCGCTTACAATATTGTCTCTACAATAACAATAATAAATTAATAATATGATATGAAACGAGYGGCGTGCTGCAGTGCGAGCGAGTATACAGATATTGTATACGTCTAAGAATGAAGACGACGATTATATACTGAAATATAATACAATATAAGCGTATTAAAAACACTTATATACACCGCGATCGGAGTGCGAGAAGATGGATAATCTCGTGTGACGTATGCGATAATATTAAATGTACTATGTTGTATTAAAAAAATATACAGCACTCGCGGGCAACGGTTAGTGCTGACTCTACAGCGTGTTCACAGGTCGCCTGCGTACGCTAATTTGACAGTAGTAAAATATTGTGACGATATATAAAACAGGTAACTATAGACAGGTTGGTAGGTGGGTAGGTAGTGTTATACCTACTATAATACCCATATAGTGGTATACCATTATGTATTTCGTATTCGGCCGCGGCGGGAGTGGGATAATCTCTCGACCGCGAAACATAATAATATAATATACAAGGTGATTCCATTAATGATAGTAGTAAACATCACTAATTTTCCTGGCAAAGTATAAAAGGTTTCTTGAAATTAAGTGATTTACCATGATAAAGTAACATAAAATGAATTTCATTTTGAAAAATATTTCTTATCGTTATTATTATTCTCAAATGGTTTACTGTAATGTACGAAAGCATTATGTTATGCACGTCTGTAATTTCATGATCTTCATGACTGTCAATTTCAATATAATATAATATAAAAATTAAATTTTGATCTTATAAATGAAGTCTCTAGATGAAATAAAATGAAATCTTATAAAACGTGACATAAATTATAATCACTATAATAATTAGTCATAACTCATAAATATTGAATGTATAAATAAACCGCGGAGTATTAGACCGATATATTTTGTCTGGTATCCCCTTCTCCTTGGCCAATGGCACAACACGTCGCTCTCGTTTAAGCTGAAATACTTATAA